ATCAAGGTGAGGCAGGACCGGGGAGCGTATCCTTCCGTTGTAGAAAGGATTCAACAAGCCGCAGACGAGCAGAATGGAGTTTCGCTTGATTATCGCCATCAGGTGGGATCAAGCTTACCTAAAGTAGGCAGCCCTTGTGGAATGGATAGGGACTCGCTGATATACTGCACTGAAGTACCGTACCTTTAAGTACAGTACCAAGAACTCGTCGTAGAGAAGGAGGGTTCAGGCCCAATGGACGGTGTTTTCTACGACACATGTGGCACAAATATGTAAACAGTCCCGGATACTGTAATATATCTCGAGTAAGTCAGCTGATGATAGGAGGCACGAGGCTACGGCAAAAAATTGAACCATCACGCCACAAATGGTCAGCCTGGCCCCTCAACCTTTCCGTACCAACAGTTTTGATCAGAAATTTTCGAATTATGCACCACAACCTTCAACAGATTGGTAGGTACCGCACCTGGGTAAACTATTCTGGGTAGCTCCGGAAATTCGACTTCAAAAACGGTACGTGCTTCATGACTACAGCTACTTCAAGAATTCCATTCGACGTCTCCTGATCCACACAAAAACGTTTTAGAAAAAGTACAGAGTAATTGACAGATGTGATCAGATGCCTCTGTGTGCACTAGTTATCATTCCCTATAAAAGAGGCTTGTAAGCTGGACACTTCAGTTCAAGTTAAAATGCTTGCGCCACGTGTCTTCCTGGTTTTCGCCCTCGCAGCCGCTGTTCTCGCTGAATCAGCCGATGAACTAGAGGTAGGTACACCGGTCTACAGTTAGACACCCTTAGCCGCAAATCTCAGGGGTTAAATTTGCGAATTTTCAGCAATGGACACAGGCATCGAAATGCAACTGCTGCAAAGTCGTCATGACCGACATCAAAGCAATTCTGATCAACATCACAGGCAAACTTGAACCCGTTTTCCACAAAGCCATTCAGGTCAGTCCACTCGATTCTAGAAGTCTATTGGGACCTTCACACAAAATCAGAAGATAGTGTTGGAATCATAGAACCCGATGGGCAGACCCTAGGCAGAATGCCGCCCGTCCATGAAAAGTAGAGAACCGCAGAAGAACTGCTCACCACAGAAGTCCAGCTTGTCTCACGATTCGTGACATACTCGATGGTTTTTTGTCCGCCATGGTTTAGGATACGACCAGATAGCCACGAGTTGAGGGGTGGTCAAGTGAAGAGTAATGCCTGAACAGGTGTTAAAATGTTGATGTCCTTGAAAATATTCCTGAAAAATCTGGAAATTTCCTCATTTTGGGCTATCTTCACTTACCACGACCCATACTTGCTGTGTATTTGTCCTAGCCGTTCCTTACCCAACTTGAGTCAAGTAGAGGTATGAGAAGAAAAGAAATCAGCCGAGGTTCCGGCCTATAACTGAATCACCACGATGGTCTCCACTGATAATCTAATCAACCACTTTCATTCATAACGATGAAGTTTCACAATGACCGAGACAAAACTCTTGTTGATTTCGCATTCTTTGCGTTCTTTCGAGCACCCTCGTGACAGATTTGGGGGCGGGGCTTTGAGAGCAGGAGGCGGGTTACCTTCTTATCGGGGTTTACAGGAAAGCTCTCGGAGCTACTTTGGAACCATAGCTCAGCAGCACCATATCAGACAAAAACCTTTTCAGCAGAAAATCTGCATTAATTGTCCGATCACGATTCTGAAGAGAAACCTAATGCATGGCGTATCCCGCGAAATAATCAAATAGGATCCTTTTTCCCTCCTCCAACTTGTCATCCATGTGGTTTTGTAACTCGCTGTATCAAACGACCTCACAAATCATCGATGGTTCACTACTGTGAAGGCTACTACAGTACCTAAAATTCGCAAGTGGATCCAAATCCCCGGTTTGCAATAAAATGGGTATGGAGGGTAGAAAATGGTCGTTCAGACTACCTTTTGAGGAGGACAAGCTTGCTAGCAGCTAAGCACGTATGTGGTTCCTCGGTGGCATGATTTTTCTGAATAATTTTTGGGTATATTAGGCTTTTTCTTTGTTTATTCCGCTCTCCATGTGACTTCAATTCGTAAGCTTTTTATTTATGACCCCTCCCCTCTCCTTATTTTCCACTCATAAACAATTGGTAACTCTTATCAGTCTGATAACGCTCAGATTCCAGAGACCATTTTCCCGTAAGGGCGAATTGTACGACTGCTACAGTATCTATACAGACAAATCAGGAAGTGCTAATGCCCCATTGTAGAGAAGGGATGAAACCTAGGAACTACACTGTAGGGTACCTACTTCCTGGCCAACTCGATTCGAGTGGGAGATAACTGGAGCCGGCCAGGAAGCCGGTATTAACCATTTTACTGTGACCCCTTCCCACTACTTCCTTACAGTTTAATAACCTAAAAACAATAGTAATGCTATTTACAGGCTGCTTGCCAACGCTACATCAAGATTCAACCATTCGAGAAGATTTGCGAATTCATTAATGAGACTCTGCTTCATCCACTCTTCGAATGGCTCTTGAAGAAGGAAGGAGAAATCGATCCTGAGTTTGATTGCCAGTACATGAAATTCTGCCCACGTCCAAAGGGCTTTGAAGTATTCCTTCGCATGCTCAAGGTGGCTGATGTACCTGACTTCCATTAGAGTAGTGTTATCAGATTTGAATAAACATATGTATACAAACTGTGTGTACAAACTGTCGGAGAATCCCAAATACTTTATTGTTGTAAGCAGAGTTTTACACGCTAAATGATAATAGGATCAAAATAAGGCGAGACTATCACATGTTTGAAGGCGGGATGAATGTATTAATCTACAGATTACCCTTCACAATACACAACGCAATACGCATTTGGCGATACAATTCGTAAGCATTTCATGGAATATATAGAAAAAATTCATATAAAAAGACTTTGTCGAGGAAAGATGAAAAATGAAAAAAATCGACAGCCTAGGGAGTCAATCTGTTAAAACGTTGATAGGAATGGAATCTTCTAGAATCAAGGTCAGTGTTTTTGAAAGAAATCAATATGTTATATGAAGTGAGTTCTACACGGGATGGATTCTGAGGCAAAAGGACATATTATGAGTGAAGTTTTACATAGTTCTAAGACAGTTAGAACAGCGACGAGTTACTGCACAGGGCAAGCAACACAGAAATACCAATCCAAATGGAAATGTGAAAATCGTCAATAGAATCAGGCAAATCAGACAGCACATGTCAGTTTCTCTCGTAACTACTCCAACGTTCTGAAACAAAAAAATCAAAAGGTAAATATGACACAAAAACGCAAAAAAGTAAGGTGGCAGTGCCCTAAAACAAAAAATCTTGGTTACTAATTGTAAGTTACTTCTATAGACCCCCCGCTGATGCAATCACTACAGTGCCAGTATGTTACTTCGGGCAATAATTGGGAATTTAATCTCCACTGATGCGATTCTAATCTTGTACGCTCGGGAACGGGTTTTTGCTCGCACAATCAGAGGGGCTATTCGACCTCGCTGAACGGCAACGACCCCTTTTTAGAAGAAGACAGATTCTATGGAAGACATGCTTGGTACCGACACTGTAAACAATGTAAAAAGGCTATTTCCAGTGGAATAGAACCACATCGAACGTTCAGCGAATAACCTGAAATCGCATTGAAACGATGTTGTTGAAATGGGAGCAGAGGCCGCCAAAATTATCCACTCTCTACAATGTGATTGCCAAGTCATGCCATACTGCGTAAAGCGAATGATTTGATTGAAAAAACAGCAAATAACGTTTTCTTTCGATTTGGCAAACGGGTATAGTTTAGCAGTCAGAGTAGTCCCCAAAAGTGTTAAGCGAATGAACAAGTTACCTCTAAAAAATTTAAGAAGGGACGCGAGTAGTTCCTCCTTGACATGGCACTACTACTCTGTAAATTTTTCTTATCTCTGTTGGCTGAGTTCCAACAACTAACCCAACCAAAAAAAAAATTGAAAAATGAATCCTTCGATTACTATTCTTGGTGAGTTACCTACATTTTGAGGTAAAATTTTTGCAAAACTGAGAAACTCACACAAAAAGGGCAGATGGATCCATTGGCAACTGCAACAACAACATGAGTCGTGCCTGGTGGAGGAGCTTGTTGCTGATTTGGTGCCCCACCTAAACACGTTGAAGTGAATGTGACGATCATATGATGGAAGTAATCAATATTAAATCAATTGTAAAAATGATAATTATGCAGGATAGCAGCATCATCCACGTAGTTTACCAGTTTTGCGACCAATTGATGAATAGTTTTAAAAAACATAAATAACAAATGAACATACCGACAGTGTGTATTGCGTGATAAATAGGAGGCTGATTAGGTACAGGATACTGTGGATACGGTTTTGGTGGATAGGCTGGTTGCACACCACCATCCACTGGATAAGGTGTGGTAGGATAGCCCATTGCTGCATGGTAGGCCGGTGGCGGCTCAGTATATGGTGATGGCTCCTAAAACAGAAAAACACCATCGAATTTCAAAATTTCAAAATCTGAAATTGAAAACTAGGTTGTTTTACCCCTGTAGCAGTTGCACCAGCTCTTCGCTCTTCTGTAGAACCGGTAGCACCTTGGTTTAAATTCGGATATCCTGCCCCGTTTCCATGTTCGTTGCTGGAAAACAGAAGATATAGGTACACTGAACAAAAACTACCCCCTTTCCTTTGCTGTATAACTGCACTACTCCCGCCATACCACTGATTGCGTGTGAAAAATAGTTTCTCAGAGAGGACTTCAAGCNAAAACCGTTATCGTTCAACACCACAAAAACGTTTGCATCGAAAAACATTTTCTGACGCTGCCACGTTCTCTTCTAAGACTGCTTTGTTCGATCAATAAAAGCCCTTGCTATCACTGATGTTCAATTTGAAGCGAAGCGATGCCCAACAATTTCATTCGAAATCGCAATTAAACTTATTGAACTTTGGCCGTTAGGAAGGCAAATAGCATAAGGTTTGCTGTATCGTACTAAAATATTAACAAAATATGCTTCTCCTTTTAAATGGGGACCTTATACGGATTAGAAATAACCTTGAAGCATACTACCTTCAGAAACACTACATAATTAAAAGCATAATGATTTGAAATCCTCTAGAAGTAAATTTTCGACTATATTTTGAGAATCCCCTACAGTTAAGGTGAATGGTGGAAGGTCGGCACTGCTAGACCAAGTAAAAACACTACTTCTCGCCTTCACGTTGGTTACTACTTTTGGAAAGTTTTCTGAAGTTGAACGAGGGACCACCTCGATAGTTATGGGTATATGGTGAATAGTGTGCCTAAACGCTTACCTCATTGTCTGTCGTTCACTCTGCTCAAGTACAGGAGCAGATGGAGCTCCAGCTGCATTATGTACATCAGGCTCGGCTCTACGTTTATTGTCCGACATTGTGCTTCAAATCTGATGAGTAATGATAAATCTGATGAGTAATGATATAATCACAGAATTCCAAAACACAGTTGAGATAGAATAAAAATAAAGCAGATCGATAGAGGTACGACGATTCAACGACTCAAAATCTAATTTGGCGACACAAGCAATTAAACATTTCATTCAAATGCTGTAACACGATAAAAAACAGAAAGAACTTTTTACGAAGAATTCGCGCTTGACAACCTAGTCCTACAGCGTACATATACTCTGCACATTCTATGGACAACAATAACTTTAATCTAACATCCTAAACAAATACCCTAAATAACGAAACTATTAACAATCATTTCCAACAAGATGACGGGCAACAACGCTGCCGCAGTCATGTACCCTGTGTAACAATAAAGAACGCTAAACTGCTACACAGCACCTATAAAAGTAGAGATTGAGCATTAAAGACTATGATGGATTGCACACCACCATTTCTGAACAGTTTTCAAAAATTCTACGTTCCATTGAGAACGAGAAGACATGATTAACAAAAAAAAAACAGCATTATACTGGCACATTCGTAGACGAAGATTCCGAAATCTAAAACCTACATCAATAACAATGCATCGGAACAATCAATAGTTTGCTAATGATCGTCACGAAGGATGCGAAAAAGGAAAAACAGGTAGAAGGCGCCTCGCCCAACGACACGTTCGCGTCGACTGCCGTGTCATGGAATGAGTCACCTGTCGAGGAACCTGTATCGAGCAGGCGACTTATGAATTCATGTGGATGCACTAGATTGCGTGAGATTCATCCAGAACCTGAAGTCAAACGTTATCAAGCTCACCAGTTGTTCCTTACACTACATATTCATACCGTGTGCACCAAAATGTATACTGTTTACAAAGCAAAACATCCACAGACCTCTGATTCTGGACAGAAAGATGACTTTTAGAGAAGATCACTTGGAATTCTGAGAAATGCGGTGAGCTAAAAACAGGCGAGTTCGAAATTTATCTTCTATGGGCATTGACGCGAATAGCTATCATGGGTAACCTACATTTGGTTGGTATTTGGATCGGCATATCATCTGCTACGGTGACAGCATGCGGCTCATCTCGGAATAAGTATCGAACGTGTAGCATTTTTGGTTCTCCTGGACACGGATCATAGAATCCTGGCAACTGACTCTGCAAAGAATATGCCACTGTTGCCATGCCTAGTAAAAGATTACGTCTATATTACTCATACCTTAACTGAGTAGATCCTTAATTGTGAGTCATTGACCATGGCCTGAAGAGGAACTGTGACGTCAATTGTTCGGTCCCCAGCCAAAATATACGACGACGAACCACTAGCCTCGCACTGTCCATACCTGTGCATTTACATAGTGAGTAAGTGAAACCGAGTATTTTCACAGAGAAAATGATAGGTGCTGCTGTCCTTAGAAAATCAAGAACAATTCAAATAAATACTTCAACTTTCAATGCGCAAGTCAGTAAAAAGTGTGTACCTGGCTTCGATGATCACAACTCCAAGTTTCCGCTGCTCCTCCTGTCGAATGCGCTCAGCGGTAGGGCGCATAAGATTTATGATACGTCCAGCTTCCTCTTGTTTGACTGTGTCAACCTTAAAAGCAATATCTCTAGAAACTCGATACACAGAAATCAATTAAAGAAAAGCTGCCTAGATACGTAGCGATCTGCAAGTGGGTCAAGTTTCAGCTCTGCGCCAGACTTATGATATGTACCTAGCACATTATTGATCGCTAGCACAGCTCAACAGACAGAAAGACGAGCACAGAATCTAGAGCAGCTCAATCCGCTAGTTTGAATGGAAGTTTCAAGAGTATAAAAAAAGTAAAAGGAAGGAGTGGTAAGAATTCTAGACAGATAGCAGAAGTGGAACGTGCACTTGGCTGATTGTAGACGATGACCGTTTTTTCGTGAACACTTCAGACAATGGAAGATACTTCTAGCCGATCAGTACACATTATCTCCGCGCTATTGTTGGAGAGTTATCAAACTGAAGTTGCATGTTGAACGGAATTTCAGTCCAACAGCAATTAAGGCGCTAGTTAAATGCCATTATGGCTACATTTGGTTTAAAATCTAAAAAGAGAAAGCCCACAAAATTTCTTCTGACTAGAAAAAAGGCAAAACAAAACAATAAAAGCGAATTGAAACAAGCGTACAGACGAATGGAGCGTTAAGCAAGAAAAGGCACGAAAATTTGAAGCTGTGACCTTCCTAACCACAAAACTACCTACTTACGTACGTATTTTTAACAAGTTCTTACTACTTATTAGAATTACACCAATCAAATCATATGATAGAAAACTGGGTCACTTATTGATTGCGTGTTTGCGCGTTCACTTTCGAACTTAGATGGTGATAAGATCTGTTTGCTTTGACGCCGAATGTACGGCGCTGAATCAGCCTCACACTATAGAAGAACTACTTTACAGAATGACTCCCAACGCAGAACATAAAATCATAATCCAATGCCGTGACGAAATAACCAGAGTCTTTTCTTTTTGGTGAAAAAAGATTGTTCAATAAGCAAAAATCCCCCTACCTCTCGATCTTGACTGTGATCGTCGAATAGCGATGTAAATCGGTCATACCATCGTCGGAACACCACCTTAGCAGAAACATAACAATGACAAAATCGTTGTGGACAGATTAAGACATCTACCTTGGTTGCTAGATGAAATAAAACAACTGGCACGACGACACCATAAATTGTGCTTCTTGCCAAAACTTCGCGATCATCACACAAGACTATATGCCAATCAAAGGAGGACTGCCCAGTTTTGAGCCTGTAAATGCACAATGAGGGCCCTGCTGGGATGAAGAAGGCATGTCACCCTTAGTGTGAAACTATTTTCCAAAAATATGTCAGCTACTGAAACACACAGACCGCTTTACTAGAATCTAATGACTGACTTGAACCTAGCAGACAACATGCAAGAAGGAAAAGAGAAGTGAAGAGCACATCCGATTCGCGAGAATCGTGACAATCTCCTTTCAAAATGGATGGATGGCGTGATTCCTGGAAGGATAAAACGTCACAATACCAGAAAGGCCGAAGTAAGAAGTAAGAAAGCCAAATCAAGGTAGATCAATGGTAGAGAATCAGTCTTACCAAACATTGACAGCTGCACTGCACTCTCAGTGAAAGCATCGTGGTCAGGACTACGAACAATGTACACTAATCGTACATTAGAACTCGTTGGTGACAACTAAAAGTAATACGCATTACAAAAACATACAAAAAAGGTTAGGAAGCTCTAACCGTGAAGTTGAGTAGAGCTTTCGGTTGGTTGTTTTCCGTGTGCACTAGAGTAGTGGTCAGAGAACTGCCTGCTGGGGTCAAGTTCAATATAATACTCCCTTGCCAGCGTACTCGCAGTCGCATCGAGTAAACTGCAAACTGTTACCATTACTTCAAAGGCAATAGTTCAAAGAAATAACTTTCAATTACTATAGTGTTCAAAAGTTCGATATGGAGGGTGTTCCCACGTGTAAGAAACCACACAACTATGGCTACGAGTCATTGGATCCCTTTCATGTGGAACATCCTGCGTTTGAGCCATTAGTCGTTCACCTGGTGCTTCCCTCAAGAAGGACACCCTGTTAACGGCTAACGAATTCCGAGTTGCTTAGAATGAGTTTGAATAACGGACTGCGGAGGCCTCATGAATTCCGCTGTATCTTGAATAACTCTTCTATTATATAAATAAACCAGATGAAAACCCACTCACCCAATGACAAGCCTGGTGCAAAAGTCTCCTGCATAGGAAAGTATTGTAAAGACGGTTGAACGATAATCGCAGCTCGATTGTAAAGACTTCGAGAGGCACGACACGATAAGTTTAACACATCGCTGGATACAGTAAGTGTATTCTATAACAAAGACATCAAGCGTTTCATATTTTTCATACGCTATTTACAAAATGATTCACCTCGACATTAAACTTTCCCGCATTCTTTTTCCATAAAGCAGTGACACTACCGTCACCACGGCCATTACCAGATTTCACTCGGCCAATGAGCCCCACTCGATTTGACTCATTCATGGCACAATCCACTGATTGAGTGATAGATATCCCAATGAGCTGAGGAGGATATCTGAAAGCATCAGCAGATATTAAACACTCAATGAACTCACCGAAAAAGGACCACATAAGATAGCAGTGATGAAATGTATTTAATTCCACAGATCTTAACTTTGTCTTATTGATCTTACAACGGAAAAGAAGCAAAATATCTAACTATTGTACCGAAGACTAATCGAGCCCTTCTCCTTGATAACTAAATGCAACGGCTTAAAATGGCTTAAGCCGTGAAAAGACTAGTTTTATCTCAGAGTCTTATGAGAAAAAATGAAAAAAATAATCGAAGCTGAGCAGTTCGATGAACACAGCATCACAATTATTTTGCTTCATGCCAAATCCAATCGAATGCTACGAACTTGTATACCTATCGTCTGGATCCTCCGGGAATAAACCGGCACATGACGTTCTTACGACGAATGAACTCTAAACAAGTTGTGAGCAGTATTTACTTTGAGAAGCTATTTCGAACAAACTTACAGCAGGATGTATTCGCTGCAACATGAGTTCCTGCTCTTTTAACCGTTGCAAGAAATCGTATTCCCGTCTGATGTTTTCAGGATTCGCTGATCTTGATACTAGTTCCCATCCCTGTGTGTCGAGACCTTGCACGCCGAGTGCATCGTATATAGCTCGCTTTTTCGGATCCATCAGAGCTTGAAAAACAATTCATATCAAGAAGGAACCGGAAAAAGAAGAAAAGAACTTCAGAGACTAAGGCACTGCTAAACGCAATGAAGGTGATACTATTCGTTTGACAATATTACTCGAAGAAGTATGGAGCAAATAATCAACGGACATACTTTCATGGGCACGACGGAGTTGAACAAAAATCTTCTCAGCCTCTTTTTTGTCATCTTCATCATCGTGTCGGTCCGGGTGGAAGATAAGGCAACGTTTCCGATAGGCCTTGTTTATTTCATCTTCTGTCGCCTAAGAAACAAGAAAGAAAGTCTCCTAGATTTCACGGAAACATAAATAAGAAGCTAGACTAGAACGAATTCACATGACTTTATCACTGCTACCCCATCATATTTGACCAAAGGGCTCATCAATAAGCTTTCTGCCCCGATTTATAAATCCTGCTAAACGAGGAGCATTCTGCTTTCATTCAATACATCTTCAGTTCAGTGGCGCTTAGTTACGTGAAAGAAAGGCTTTCCAGCACCATTCCTAGCAGCGCCAGAGATGGGTAGAGGCAGTAGATCCATGAGTTGAGGGTGAGTGTCACCAGAAGTCACTCAAACCACTTTAGCCCTGTAGATATGCCTGTTCGCTGGGTAAAAAATTAGTTGGGAAAACCTCTAAGGGCGAAATTTTGCAATCTTCAAAAAGCAAGTCATCTAGATTGGTTGTAAAGTGTTTCTATAGCTTTAACCTAGCTAACTTGAAGCCAATGTTTGAGTCACTGTTGGAAGGAACAAATGACTAGTTTTCAATTCACGCTAACAAATTTTATCTAATCAAATCGTGAATCTCACTCTTGCTCCATACAACAGCTTCCATTTCTTGCACAAAAAAGTTTAGTTTATAAACAAAAGGAAATGAAACTTAGAAAGCAAAAAAATCGAACAGCTTACGTCTCTAGGGACATTCAGAATGGCATAGAAGTCGATTTCTTCTTCGTCGTCTAATAATAGATCCTGATCACGATCCCCACAAAGCGAACTACCAGACGATACTGACATACCTTAAAGAGCAACGACTATTCACGGGTAGCAGTTTAGAATTCAATGCATGCCGCAACCCGAAATCTGCTTTAAGGAGGACCATAACCATTGAATTACTTGTATTCACCACTATTTCATCAGGATCGTTCCGAGAAATCACCTGTAACTTGAGTTCTTTTGGTTGCGGGCGGTTGTGTAGCGGTTCTTGATTTTGAAGCGGGCTTTTCGCGGTCGTGGGCCTTGTGTTCTCCAATCTTCTTCTGAATCTTCCCTCAACCCTTGTATACGCAATTCAGCGGATTTTATGAAGTCTATAAAGTTTGTTCATCCTTCTAGTAATTCTGAAATTCAAGTGGAATCCTGTAATGGTAAACCGTTTTTTATACGATGTTGGTCTGCATAGCATTTCCTTTTCTGATTTTTTTTTCACAGTCATATTCGCATGTTCTATTTGTTTTGCTTTTATTCATTTTTATTC